AACTGTATTGTACACCTAAAATGTACCAATAAACTAAATGAAAAAAAACACATTCAGGGGTGGGGGTAGTGACACACTGATTTAAATTTCTGCCAGGATATACTTGAGTGCAACTAGATTTTCTCTGAGAACAGGTTCGGCAGGAAAGAGAGTGAGGAGTTAAGGGGGATGAGGTTGGGAAATGACCCAGGAACTGGGGAAAGATTGCAGGAAAGGGAGGCTGGGAATGCCAATCTAACTTTGTCCAATTCCCACCTTTCCAAGTCCAGACTGGAGGGTCTGTTTTAGGTGCTGGGCTCTTTAGTTTTTTATTTGAAGTTCTAGGTAGTAATTTTCTCTCACCTTTTTGGGCTTTTGCCTATGTAATTTGCTTACAGATATGCTTGTCTATAATAAAGCTCAGGTGAATCTAGTTTAAATGTATTTTACTACATCATATATACTTAGCCTCAGGTGAAAGCTAAAAGCAACACTGACTATTTTGAGAATGCTAAATATTTTTTAGAATTCTGAGGGCTTCGTCAACATTTCTGACACTTAAATGACCCATCCCACCTGTTCAAGGCCTAGCCTGCTTTCATGCCCAGTCCTCCAGGCTTCTGGCTCTAGGTGATCCAACAGCTAAAGGTTGGTGGTTGGCATGTAGGAATTCACTGGATTAGTGCTGGAGTCTGAGGATGTCTAACTTGAGTGCTCCTCCTGAATATGGCCCACCTTTGTTTTTCCAAACTCTACCTGACCTGACCTAGAAATAGCTTGTTGAGTGACAACACGAGGCCTAGGAAATTAATAAAGAATTTGAGAACAAGCAGAGATTGGGCCTCCCTTTCACTCAGATTTGTTGTTTGTTTGCTCCCTCTCCCTGTGGATTCCCTGCAGGGTTAGCCCTCTGTCCTGATGTGAAAGGAGTTTGACTCGGTAAGCAAAATCATACCTGGGGGCACCCAGTTACTGATTTCTTCTCCATATGTGAACAGATGGACTTCCCAGTACCAACTCCTTCAGCCCAGAGGAGGAAGAGGAAGCAGAGGGTGGAGGGCCAGCAGAATTCACTTGCTTCTCAGAAGATCTTGTGGCAGAGCAGCTGACATACATGGACGCAGTAGGTTTTATTTTTCCCTTTTTATTTTTTCTTAGTACATGTTTACATTACATAATGGTTGCATTCCTTGTGGGGAATTGTTCATGTATATAGCACATCTCAATTCTTTTTTAAAATCCCTTTTTCCTTCCCTCTCCCTCTTGATCCCTTTCCCATTTGAAAAAGATCTATGTCCTTACTTCCTATTATCGATCTTTTATTTAGCTCTTCATTTAGATTTAAGCTTGTGTATTTGATTTATTTTGCTTAACATTATGATCTAAAGGTGCATCCATTTTCCTATAGATGCCTCAAGTTCATCCTTTATGGCAGAGTATATAAATACATTTTCTTTATTCATTCATCTGTTGGTGGACATATAGGCTGCTTTCAGGATTTAGTTATATGAATTATGCTACTGTAAATATGAGTATGCATGTATCACTGTAATATGCTGTCTTTAACTCTTTTGGGAAGTTAGAAGAAGAATAGCTGGGCCAAATGGAATTTCTAGTTTTAGGGTTTTTTCTTTGAGGAATCTGCATACTGATGTCCACAGTTTTGTTTGTTGGTTGATTTTTTGTTGTTTTGAGGCCGGGTTTCACTATGTAGCTTAGTGGTCCTGAAATCACAGGTAGCTCCAGCTGTCCTGGAACCTGTCATCTTTCTGCTTCACCCTCCTGAGTGCTGGGATTACAGGAATGTACCACCATGCCTGGAAGCAGTCTGCCTTCTCCTTTTTCATATGCGCCTCTGCCTAAAATGTGGGGCCCTGACAGTAATAGTGTCCCAGGAAGGGCGGTGGGGTAATGCGGTTGAAGTGTTTTTGAATCCTTGAGAGAGGCTGTACCCCTAAATGCCGTGTTAAGATGTTACTCAGATCAATCCTCTGAATAATTCAGGCCTAAGCTCTTCTTGCAACTTTGGGTGAAGATGCATTTTGCTTGGCGCTCAAGTCACAGAGGAAAATAAGAACTCTAATCCTAGTGAAACAAAACCTGCCCTGTTCCATGGGTATTTCTCTCCCTTTAGACTCATAAATATTTCAAGAGCTGAACTGTTTATTTGGAGGATTGTAAAGGGGTCAGAGTATAAGTTAGGATAAAATAAATTCATTGAATCCACATGTGACAGCTCATTTCCCTGTGTGTTTCCTGTACTTTTGAAGTTTGAATATTGTTTTTAGCTGTACATATTTGATTATGTCAGTCACATTTCATAGCTCAATATTACCTGGTAAATATTGTTAAAGGGGACTGTTAGGAATTATCACAGTGGTTGTAGCTCTTCTGTGCTTACTTTTTGTTTTCTTTTTTGTGTTACTGGAGATTAAACCTGGGAGTGCTGAGTTACATCTCCAGCCCTTTTAAATTCTTACTGTTGTGAGACAGGGTCTCCCTAAGTTGCCTAGGCTGGCCTTGAACTTGCAGTCCTCCTGGCCTAGCGTTCACAGTTGCTGACATTACAGGTGTGGGTCACTGTGTCCGGCTACGTTAACTTGTGAGAAAACAGTATTGAAAGTGGCGAAGAGTTTCCATCTAATAAACATGAAATAATAAGCCCATATTGAATTGTTGTAGGAATGAAAATTTGATTAGGTGAACATATTTTTTGGCTGTTGTTTGGATGATTGATAATACATATAAGGAAAAGACAGAAAATCTTATTATAATTTTAAGGGAAAATCCTAGGAACCAGGTTTCAAATCTCTCTTTCTTCCTTTTGCTGTGTGTTGTTGAATACTTTTTCCTTTCATATGCTTCTTTCTTTCATTATTGTAAGGAATGGGAAACAGTGACCCTGATGGGGTCAGTTTTCAGGTGGTCAGTGACATCCATTTGCCTCCTAGACAGTTCATGATCGCAAGTACACGGGAATCCTAGATTGAGGTTAAAATAACCGTAAGCACATGTTTGATCAGAGATCTTGTTTGACTTTCCTTGCAAGACAGGAAAGTCAAAATGTTTTGGGTCATTTAAATTTTCTTTTGGTCATTGTGTTCTATTTGCTCAGTTGAGTAGAGTTAAAAAGATCATGTAGGCTTTTCTGACCCATGAATATATTATTGACCTTTGTCTGTTGAAATGAACACTGCAAGGCAAATTAAGTAGAAAAGGATTATTCATCTCTTCACAAAATACTGATTTACAGATGACTTAGATGATACACTTTGCCATATGAAATGTGTGTGTTGTCATTAACGTCAGTTCCCTCTTTCGTTCCAGCAACTATTCAAGAAAGTTGTGCCTCACCACTGCTTGGGCTGCATTTGGTCTCAGAGGGATAAGAAGGAAAACAAACATTTGGCTCCTACAATCCGTGCTACCATTTCTCAGTTCAATGCCCTCACCAAGTGTGTTGTCAGTACCATCCTGGGCAGCAAAGAACTCAAAACCCAGCAGAGAGCCAAAATCATTGAGAAGTGGATTAACATTGCTCATGTAATTATCTTTTTAAAAATAATTTTTGCGTTTAGTAGGTATTGGAGACCATGCCATCACTCTGTTTAAATGGTTCAGCTGTTTGGTTGAAAGGTAGTCAGAAGACCATATGTGCAAGCCTATTGGGTTCTGTTGTTGTTGTTGTTCTAAACTAAGAAAACAAGCTGTCTTCTTACCTTGAGGACTTATGTATTTATTCTCTTAAGAAAAACAAAACAAAACTGGTCATCTGGTCACTTCTTTCCACCCGTGGTCCCTAACACTGCTGCTTCTCCAAGGAGAAACATTCCATCTGCTTTTTCCTTTCTATCCACGACTGACTGAATGTCTGCCCATGTTCAGTAAATATAAATTCCTGGTCTGGGTGTCCAGTAAACTGCTTTTCATCCCAGAATGATCACCCGTATGTCTCGGTAGTACCTGCACACATTTCATATTCTGTGGATTTGCACAGATGGTAGGTACCTCCTCACGACCCTCAATCTCTTTTCCAATGGACTGAGACACTTCCACAGATCTCACATTAATCACTAATCGGGGGCCTTTCGGAGGGCCTCACAGCCTCAGGTCTCAAGGCAGAGAGGAGTAGTCTGTTCTTAGACCTGGGTTACATTCTGCTGAGGGTCAGAGTCTAATCTCTTGGATTAATTGCTTACATGTTACATAACCCTCACTTACCAGCATCTCATGTCATGAATGAGAAAATGACAGCATTCAGTGAACTGATCATATATTTTTTACATAAACTGATATATATAAACTACTGAGTACTAAATATTATGTACTTTAGAGACATAACAGTATAGAACAGAGTTGACGTGAAACCAGAGGAGCAACACATAATGGAAATATTAAGTGCTGTATAAGTGGAGAGGAGAGAAGTCATTTCTGATGAGGGTGATGAAGAAAGGATGAGTTGATGTTTGAACTTGGTTCTGAATAATAGGATTTTTGGAGCTTGAGGATCAAAGGTTTTTATAATTTTTTTCTAGATAAGAGATTACATCAGCAAAAAAGATTTTGAAAAATAATTATTATGTAAATATTCTATTAGTTTATGTCCTGGACTGTATGGGTCAACCATTAACCAAAACATATTTTGCTTTATATCTCTTTAGATATATTTTTCATTAAGCCTTTCTCTCTCGGGCACAGTGCCTAAGTTTTTCACATTCTCTTCTGTTGTTTTTGATTAAAAAGCAAAAACATAATTATGCCAATGAATTTGCCTCATTTTGAGTATTTAAGTGGTCTATTATTATAGACTTTTTTGTATATAAAAAAGTAAAAAAGAATATAAGTAGCATTAACAACTTACATTTCTCCTATTCTAAACTGAGCTTGTTTTCCAATAAGTAACTATAAAGAAATTCTAATGGAATGTGATAGTAGAATAGAATTTCTCTTTCTTTTTCAAGTAATAAGAAAATATTTTTTGCCATAAATGCCACAGCATTTACAGAGCTCTGTGTCTTGAAAGCACATGGCTTATCTACCCCCAGTCTATTCAGCTACATCTGTGTATAGGACATAGTGTGGCTCAAACAATGACTTGGTCCAAGTTAAATATAAAATGTGCATTTAGATAATAATGAGAAATATTCAGTTTGAATAACTGGAAGTATATCCCAGTTCCCATAGTATATGCAACAAAGCCAAGAGTCCTCACCCTTGGTGATAATAGTTTTTAATATTGAGTATGTTGTGTCTTGCAATTGTACAGGGTAACTTAATAAAGTAAATGAAACCCTAAGTGTTCCTGCCAAGATTTATTTACTACTCTTGCATTTGTCATGGTCGGATCTATTGAAAAGATGTTTGAAAAATGATAATAATTTTACATGGAGAAAATACTTCTGACCTATTAAGGGTATGTTTTCTTGGACTGGCCTTACTGCTGGATTTTTACTTTTGCATCACATCTTCTGGAAGCTTACCTCCTTTTGTAGAAACGGGACCAGATGCCTTTTGTACTCCTTTAAACCCTTAATTTAAACCTCTTTCTAAATAATAAGTTCCATATGTTTATTACAAATTGCATGATATATCTGTGCCTCAGTCCATTTATTTATTGCAAGTTTCCTGATTTTTAGAACTTAACTGTGGGTTCTGAACCTTTGTTGAACCATACTGTCACAAGCTGGGTTCTCTTTCTCTCTCGCCCTCCTTCCCTTCTCTCCTTCCCTTCCTCCCTCTCTTCTCCCCCTTCTCTTTTCTTTCCCTCTCTTCCTCTCTCTCCCTTCCCCCTCCCCCTCTTCCTTTCCCTCTATCATTTTCTCCTTCCTCTCTCCTCTTCCTCCCTTCTTCCCTTCCTTCTTTCCTTCCAAATGGGGAGAACCTTGGGGCATTAAAAAAAGATGGGCATGGCTTTTATAAAATACATTGGCTTTTACTCTAAAGAAAATGACTGAAGGATTGTTTGGCATGGTTTTTAGCATCCAGATTTTGGCATGCTAAATTAGAGTGCTGTTTTTCCTTCATAGTCAGGATGAGTATTACTTCATGAAATGATCCTTGAAGTGATTTGCATTTATGCCCAGCCACTCTGGGACATCTTGCCCCAGATGTTCTCCCTGAAGCCAAGGGCATACTCACACAGTGTGCTCAGTAGTAAATTGTGGGTGTGTTGCACTGCCACGTGCCTGTGTGGGAAGCATCTCCTTGACACAGGCATAGTCTACTTGCCTCATGTCACCCCGTGCCAGCCAAGAATAGGACCCTCTCTCTCCCCGACTCTTGCTCTCCTTGGTATTCATTTGGCAGGACTTGAACTCCAAGGTCACTGACTGCTGATACTGTGGCCTTGATTTCTTATAGTAGCTTAAGTGTAAGTAGGGAGGCTCTCTCCTTACCCAGAATGTTTCCTGTTCTCTTTCTATTTTGTTTTTAAACACTGCCAAAATGAATCTTACTTTAAAAGCCCAAGTTATTTTGGAAGCATTGAAGTACCAAGGTGTTTCAGAATGTTTATGAATGCGGTACAAGCCAATTTGAAACTAAATGAATGTGTATAAAAATATTCCCCCTTGGCTAAGAGCATAAAAGCCAAAGTTCAACTTGTGGCGAATTTTTATTGCCAAGTTATATACTCCTCTCAGGACAAGGGTTGGTCATGAGATGTTTGATACTGTCTGAACTCGAGGTGGCTGCTGGCCAGTTTCATTGTGGGTCTAAGGATACAGTGATCTTTCATGTGTATTTTTCGGGCATGTGTGTGCTTTCCACAGAAGAAAGCAGCTTTCTCTAGCCTCTCTCTGTAGACTCACCTCCATTCATGTTTTTACTGGGAAAGCTGGAAACTATAAAACTGTAACAACAGCACAAAAATATCTTAAAGGGAGAAAAACAAACACACAGTGCCAAAATCTATAAAGTGTTTGGGTGACTGGGGTGGGAGGAAGGAGCCACTTTTTGATGTCTAGTATTTATTCAGCTGCCTATTTAGTGGTAAGAATTCATAGCAGCTGTGATACCTCTAAAACAGGAAACAACCCACTCACTGTAATATTGATATTTAAATGCCTTTTATGCCCTAATCACTCCCCATACAGGAATGTAGAATCCTGAAGAACTTTTCCTCCTTAAGGGCCATCGTTTCAGCACTGCAGTCTAATTCCATCTATCGCTTGAAAAAGACTTGGGCTGCCGTCCCAAAGTAAGTTTGCAAGTGTCTGCTCTGCTTTCCTTTGTCCTGGGTGATTCATTGCCACATCAGTGCTATAGGTCCTTACCATCATATGATGAGAGAGGCATATTCAAAGTCCTCTCAGTGTTCCAGGTGATGTGCATAATCATCAGTGAGTTTTGAGCAAAGCTGCTGCAGAAGTCAACCCCATTCTCAAAATGCCAAGCCAGGATTGTCGGTTTTGGGGGATGATTTGAAGGATGTGCTTATTATCTACATTTTGAGGGATGAAGTGACTACAGTTTGCCATGACTTCTGGTTATTGTTCAGCCTCATTCCAAAGCCCGAGGCCATTCCAGAATGTGAGGCATCACCTGCATAGCTGTGGTGTTAGTGCTTGATGTGCAGCAAGAAACTGCTCAGTCCCTTTGTGCTTCTGCGTATTAGAAGCTAGTTTATATAGCAATATTAAAACTGTATAGTCTTATATTAAAAGTTTCTTAGTGATGTTAAAAACCTTAGAATGTTCCTTCCCTTCTCGGCAATTGATAAGAAATTATTCCCCAGCCATGTTCTGGGCTGTTTTTCTTCATGTTTCTTGGTGCAGCCTTCAGAAGGATTGGCAATGTAATGTCCTTATGATTTTTTTTTTTTTTAGGGGGATTGAACTCGGGTCCTTGCGCTTGTGGGGCAGGCAGCAGAACTGCTGAGCTAAATCCCCGGCCCTATGTCCTCATGATTTCAACTATTGCTGTCTTCCACTTCTAGAACTTTGTAGACCAGACCTTTTTGCACAGGAAGGGAAGGAGGGAGCAGGTTCAGTACCACTCAGAACAGATTTAGAAGCTAGGGCGTGTGTCATGGATACGAACTAGACCACCTATATCTTCCTGGGTTTGAACTACTCAGCCTGTCAGGCTGTATCAGGGGAGAGAGTGTAAACTGTGTGCAGTATAGTCAGTGTCTGGCAGAAGAGATGCAGTTTGCTCCCCAGCCAGGGATGTTGGGTGGAAATAGTGAGTTTGTCCTCGGAGTAGAAGGTCTAGGTTTCATCAGTTTCATCACCTCATTTGGAACTGATTAACCCCGAAGGGGCTGACACTCCTCACACTTGCATGAGACCTACATTGGCAAACCAGAGTTTCAAAAATGTATGCTGGGAAATGAGTGCCAGAATAGTCTAGCTTACTGATGCATTCTAGCTTACTGATACTGATGCTTGAGAGAAGTCATATTATTACTGGGTAATTCTTTCACAGGTAAAAAGAAAAAAAGTGGATGATCTTAATGCTTCATGTCACAGAAGCCACAGCCACTTGGATTCCAAAGCTTACACTTTGTTTATGACACCATTATCTATCAGGAAAAACCTGGCAGATAGGCTTTTCAAAGTCCAGTGCAATTTTCTTGATTATCAGTCTTGTCTTGGATTCTTTTTCCTCCACATTATTTTCAACAATGAAGGTGACTGTGTGACAGAGATTAGATGATGATTTTCCTCTACATGCACATCTTGTGGAAGATTTGGGTTGTATATTATCTCAATCATGAGATAATAGTCCCTGGTAAATACAATGGGACAATCAGAAGCATACAGTGCCCTCATCCTTTGTACAGTCACATCAGCTCTCCTTCTCATTCATCACTGCTCCCCACCCAGCAGTGGTATCAAAAGCATGGGGATAGTCAGGTGGTACAATTTCAACCTTATCTGATTGCAGGGACACGCAATCTTACCTCGTTTTTTTTTGGTGGTTGACTATTAGTCAATTAGTATCTTCTTTGGGCAATCACTTACCCAGTCTAAGATCTCTTTTCTTTTACAGCAAGTCTGAGGCTAAAACACAAGTAAGGATAATAACAAGGAGATAGATCTTTTGGAAATGGGAAGAGGACCAAGAGGAGGGAAGGGAGGAGAACGGGATGTAAAAAGACTTAAGGTGTGTTATGTACATGTACCAACTCCCCATGATGAATACAATCATTGTGTACCGCAAACATGTACATACTAATAAAATTTTTTTTAAAATGAAGATAATAGTGAACCTATATTTAGTCTCTGTGGTTGCCATATAAGAAGGTCCACTCTTCCAACTGACATTTTAAGTTAGCTTTCAGAAGCTTCTGTTCAGCATGTCTGGTTTGATTCTTAGCTCGTTGGTTGGTTTATATTTTAGCTAGGATGCTACTGTGTCCCACTTGCTTAGAGAAGACTCCTGTCAGCTTTCTATGCTCTTCATTGGTAAATTCTAGCCACAGGGTCACGATATCTTATTTGGTTTTAATTTTCCCTGTAATCTTTTACATTTCAGCTTTTAGTAGACAGAGAAGATACCTAAGTTATTTCTCTATTTAGGGCTACTTGTAATTAAGTTCCTATTTTCTGTAAAATATAAGCAGCTTTAATGGTTTTCTTTATTACAAGAACAATATACTCATTGTAATGCAAGTAAGTTCACCAGTAATGGCTTTTTCATGATAATGAGAATGTTGCACATATAAGGAAGGTTATAGCCCCTAATCATTCTTTGCCTTCAGCATCATCCACTCTGTAACCTTGTGTGGAGACCAGCAGGAGGCTTAACAGAGATACAGTATGCAGGGCACTGGGTAGGAGCAAGGGCGCTAGGTGCTTTACATGTGTCACCCCTACTAACCTTCACAGCAATCCTCCAAGGGTGCGGTAGTGTTTCCATTGTGCACATAAGAAAATGGAAGCTCAGGAAAGTTAAGCAACTTGTCTAAGATCGCTGAGGAAGTAAGTGGCAGAGCTGAGATCTGGCTCTGACCTCCACCTTCACCCTTGGCTGCAGAGCCCATTCTGATTCCACCATTCTCCTCTGGCTCAGGGTGAGAAACTGGCCTGTGAGTCCAGAAATGTGGCTTCTGTCTCTGAGACACTCAGAAGTTTCTGGTGAAAACTTGGACAAACCCTTGGCCTTGGCAACATCCTGTGTAAAATTAGAGGCCTGGCTAAGATGACCTCTTAGGTCCCATTTGGCTCTGTATATATTGCTAAAAATTTTTTTTAAAAACTCACTGAAGAAAATGTGTCCCAGTTGAATAACTTAATGTTGCAATTGAACGGTGCTTTTTTTATGATTATAACATGCATTGTTAGGAAACATTTCTCTCTTTGCACACATAGCCTTGTTTACCTTTTAAAAAAACTTGTTTGAAAAAAAAGCCAATCCTGACATTGGAACATACTTCCATTGCTGTAGGAACTGAAAACAGCTAGCCTGAAGAAGTCTGAATTTTACTGTTTCCTTGTTAATATTTCCTTAATCCCTCTTCATAGGGACCGAATGCTAATGTTCGAAGAACTTTCAGATATCTTCTCAGACCATAATAACCACCTGACCAGCCGGGAACTACTGATGAAGGTGAGGCCCGGGGTGAGAGTGCTGGTGGGCACTGCTGATAGTTTTGGACTCCAACCAAGGGAGGAGTAGCTCAGGGCTCCTTAAGGTCCTTCCATTCTGCAAGAAAGCAGAATGTTTTCTTTTATGCATAATCCAGGAAAAGAGGGGCCAAGAACATTCAAAGTCCATTTGAATTCTCTCCTCCCCTCTGTGGCTTCTCTATGTGCACGTGTGTTCATATGTGTGCTTTCTTAGCGTGCTGCTTTGCAGATACCAAGAACTGGCAGTTCAGTGGATGAGGGACCCTGAAATTATCCTTCTCAGTAAAACTCTCGGATAAGAGGCCAGGCCTGCAGTTCCACATCCTTTATTTAGAGCAAGTTGCGCGATCTTGTGGTCAGCAACATTTGTTGAACAATCAAATGAATGGTGATTTCTGACCTGTATGCTAGGCAAAGCTATATCTTGGCTCATTTCTCCAAAGAACATGTTGAATGTCTTATGTTTATAATGCATTGAACTTGCGTCTAGAGATATGAAGACTACTAACATAGATTCTTTCAGGAGTTCGTCTGCAGTTGGTGGCCAGAGGCACTAAACAATAAGTAGTATTAAAAAAAAAACAAAACTGAAACAACAGACTGAACAGTCACTAGAAGGGAGCTAACGTAGACCAGATACTATCTTCATAGGCTCTCTATACAGTAGATTTTATTATTCTTGTTTTACAAATAACCCAGACTCAGAGAAGGAAGTACTACATGCTGTAAGGCATACACGCAGTAGAGGGTAGACTAAAATGTAAATCCAACTTGGTGTAACTCTAAAACCTGAGCTTTTGTTACTTAGGGACTAAAGTATTTCTTTTGATACCTTGGGAGTAAAAGGTGTGGTAGATGAGGTCCAACTTCATAGAAAAGGGAAATGGATAAATTAATAATCTAACATATATTGGTTGAGCACTTATTATATGTTAGATATTGGAGATAGAACCATATTGATCTACAGGTCTCTGATAATAAGGGGATTACAGTCTTATGGGAAGGTAGAAAAGTAGACAATTATAAAATAGTATGATATGCCCTAGCATAGGGGAAGCCCTGAACCCGTAACTTGAAGATTTTGATCCTAGTCTTTAATCTCCATTTCTGCAGCTTGGAGGCAATAATGGTAATGGATCTATTGATCTCACAGAATTGGTTTGAAGGTTGATTGCAATAAAATATGTGAAAGTACTATGCAAGTGTAAGTGATTTGTAGTATTTGGTAAGCTATATACATATAAAAACAAAGTGTCCATAAAAAGTGAAAATGAATAAATTATAAGCTGCACACTTGAGCTTTGGGACACTTGGGGTAGGAACAAAAGTCAGGTGGAGGTGGGGTTATTAAAAAAAGGCATCCATTTGATAACTTGTCATATTCTAGTGTCTAAAACTCATAGGTTAGTCAGTCCTATAAAGGTGTTTGTTACAGTTTCCATGACTGTTCTCCTAAGTTCTGCCCATCCTTCATATCTTTGTGTGGACTCTTGTTTTTCTGGAAGCCTTCTTTTTCTCAACACCCTGAGGTCTGACGAAATGATCCCCTGTGTGTCCTAGGAGAAGCCCTTTATTCCTCGGTCCTGCCACTTACTGCGTGCTCTATTGGAATTGCCAGTGAACTTGACCTGTCTCCCTGCAGGCCTGTAGGCTTTTTGCAGGCAGAGATTGAATATATCTTTTGTCACTTTTGTATTCCTAATGCCTAATAGAGTGCCTGGCATGTAGTATGTGTTCAGAAACTATTGTTTGACTATGTGGATTGATGGATCTTATCACTCACAGGATTTTAACAGTGTACCCACTGTTCGTCTTTTTTGGAGTAAATGATATGAGCTGGGCAGTTTATGCTGATGTCTGACTTTGGACTCTGGCTCCTGAGTAACTGCACATTTAAAGATTGCTGAGACCATGTTATTCCCTGCTTCATGTCCCTCTGGATTTGCAGACTTTAAATGGAAACCCATCTGGTTGGAAGGAGATGGCTTAGTGATCTCCCTATTTGCAAAAGAAAGCTAGACTAACTGGAGCCACACATTTAAATCCCAGTAGTCCCGAGTCATCCTTCCAAGGTAGATAAATTGAATACTGTGCAGATCATTGCCTGGTGGCAGTCTTTTGGCTGAAACCTTAGAAACAAAGCTATATCTAGGCATTAAAGAGCCCATAAACTTTTTTTAAAATGCAAGAATTTATCTCAGTATTCAAAGTGAAATTTCTTATATATGACTCAAATCCCAAAGAAATGAAAAATTTGGCTATGATTTCACATGGTCTGTGCATTATCATTAATGATAGTGAAATGGTTTGGGCAGCCCTTATGTACAAGCAAGTCCCTTTCCTGTCATCTTTGTTGATCTTTATGTAAAGTGTATAATTCTGTGTGTAAATTAACAGCACACCTGTTAAAAATTGAAATCAAAGTACTTAGGTTCTCAAAAGCACCTCGAAAAAACTACTGGTCTCTGTTTCTAATATGTTACTCTGAGACGTCTACTGATTATACTTAGGTAATCTCAGTTTTAAAGTATTTATTTTCTACTTCTGGGTAAATTTAACATGCTGCTTCTATAATATGATGACACAGACAACATAATAATTAGCAAAAATCTGTGGTTTTTCTTTTTAACTGTTGGAAAAATATTTTTATTTCTTCTCAAAGATTACCTCAAACCTGTTATGTCCTTTTGATTTCTGAAACTTAGCTAATTCTGAGCAGGTGAATCTTCTTTTTTCTTTGAGCAGGTGTGTCTTAACAATAGGAAAGAAGACTTACCAAATTTTCTTGGTTCTTATGATTCCTGGTGAGAATTCTCCCTGGTTGAATTGATACAAAGAATCTCTAATGGAGATGTCTGTTTAGTGATGCTCCCTAACATAACATGAAAGTTGGAGCAGGAGACCATTAGAAGTGTGAAGAGCTATCAAATAAAAATTGCCAGTAGCTTCTGAGCTATAATTTAACCAATAGTTATCAAAATGGATCTAGTGCCACACAGGCAGGGTCCTTCTGTATATACCTGGTGGCAGAGATTCTTCTGAAGCCAGGAAAAAACATGAGTGAGGGCCTTGAACTCCACTAAAGATGGAGACAGAGAAAGGCGAGTCTCAGATGAGAAGTGTGCACTATAGAGGAAGAAGTAAAGAGTCAACAGAGGAGAGGAAGGAATGGGAAGGAAGAGGGAGCGATTCAGAATTCATCCAAACAGAGGTGATTGGACAGTTCTTTCCATCGACCTGAGTGTACTGGAAAGCAAGATGACTTGGGCAGAAAGTGGAGTCACTAAAAGAATTTGAGTGTGAGTGGCAAAGGAGGCAGGAGGAAAGAACTGAAAAATTTCAAGAAGGTTCAAGGGGCTGGTGTTGTAACAGCACAGAGTAAGGAGTTTTGGGTCAAGGAAGGGAAAACTGAAACCACTGTTATGTGGCAAAGAAGTGGCTTTTCAGTCAACACCTCTTTTGGAAGAACTGGCACTAGTCAAGTCTTTCTGGTGTTGCATCCAGGCATAGAATCTCTCACATTAAAGTCATGAATCAACAAGTCTTTTAGCTCCCATCTCAGATTTTTCTCTTGCTGCCAAGGGGGTGATCCTTGGGGCTTTTCAAGATCCTTCCTACCCATGTTGTTCTGTAGTTCTTAGGAGCTTTCTGACTTCTCAGAAATGCTCACTAAGAATTCTGTATATACATGCATTATATTTTTAATATTTTAAGTGGGTGGTCTCCAAAGGAATAAGGCCAATATATAACTTAAAGACCCTTTAGATGTTTCATTATCTTGATTTTATAAGGAAATTCCTGATCCTAATGTTTAATTTTCTGTTTGTTCTTGAAAGATACAACCATTAGTATATAGGTTTTCTGGGATTACCAATAAAGCTAAAATTAAAAAAAAAAAAGAATTTTAGATATTTGCAATAATTCTCATATGTTATCCTCTACCTATGATTGAAATCCTGGAAGGACCTACATGCTAGACAGAGGGAACACTCGTACTCCTGTCAGAGAATTGATTTCTCACTCCAAGTGAATTCTTAAGAATTATGAGGACTTATAAGCCCCCAGCGTAGGAAGGGGCACATTTTAGGCTGCCACCATGCATCTCCAGGAGAAGCTGTGAGAGATCATTGATTGATAGCTGTCCTTATCCTTTGTATGGAGAACTGAAATAGATGAGGAGTCCTAGGGTGAGGGTGGGGTTCTGCACCTGGACCTGGGTCAAGGGTGGGTAATGACAGAGTATATTTATGCTTTATCACCATCGGCAAGGCCATGTCACTGGGAAGGAATTTTCTTGCATTGTATGGTAGTGAAAAGTCACATGCTAAGGCAATATATAATAAACCTAGGGAAACCTGACTATGGAAAAACTTTTAGCTAATGTAGAGGTTACACGTGACTGAATTGTGAAATTTGCCTCCCATTCATGCAGTTCCTGGAAAATGAGAACTTAGCAAGCCTCTGAAACCACAAAACCAAAACACTTCATGTTCAGTCAGCAACTCACGATTAGTCATTATGTAGAAGAGTTTGTTGTTACAGTAGCCAGGAGGAGAGAAAGGGTAGCCATCTGTCCTCAGGTGCCAAGAGGAAGGATAGATGTGTAATGATTCCAAACCAGGGAGGTGCTTTAGGAGGACTGTTGGGAAAATAGGGGTGAAATACATAAAGGTCTAGTTTTCACGAAGTGATCATGTACCGTGACACTGGACTTCCTCAGAAAACTTCCGATCCAGCAGTTTCATTTGCCTAAGAAATACCACAGAATTAGGCCCTTTTCTTTCACAGAATGCTAGCACACCCATTTCAGGCCAAGATCAAGATGGCACAAACTGTACAGAGGAAGAGACCTTCATTTCCAGGACTTAGGACCATTTTGAGTGAAATTGGGAACGTGTTAAAATGTCTCCTCTTCAGGGAATTGCCTGCCTTGTAGTGACAATTGATTTTATAGCCTACTCAGTCATCTTCCAAAAAGGTGAGGGAAGAGCTGGGATAATCCAAGACCACCAGGCCTCATACAGAGCCTGCTTGCAATAGGACCACCAAGCATTTGCATAGTGTACCTGAGAGCCTGCTGGAGGCCTCCTCATTTGCATTCAGAGACTTGGGCAGAGGTTGCAGTTGTGTGCCAGAAAGGAGCTGCCTCTTCCCTCTCCCCAGAGTGGCAGCCTCTCTCACTTTCCCCTGGGTGTGCTCTGTTCCTTAGGAAGGAACCTCTAAGTTTGCAAACCTGGACAGCAGTGTGAAGGAAAACCAGAAGCGAACCCAGAGGCGGCTGCAGCTCCAGAAGGATATGGTATGTCCAGCCCGTGTTCCTCCCTGAGAGCCATAGGCTCTGGGCCTGTGTCGTGATTGGGTAGTTGGGCTCTGGTGGCATCAGTGTCTGCAATCTGCAGGGTGCTCGTGCTTTCCTGTTCTTTATCTCCTTGGTCCTTAGCAGTGCTGGGAGGTCTTGAGGAATGATACTCGCTGGATTTGACCCAGTAGGAAGTGAACACTGAGAGTTGCAAATCATGTATTAAGGACTTTTTCTGGAATAGGTTTTATTGATTGATCGATAATAAGGGAAGGTGAGCATCAGGTCCATCTCTGTCCCTTTCACTGGCTTCTGCACCCACTGCTTCTGCCTCTTTGCGTAGAAGCCCCTAGGACTTCCTGTCTCCCTGTGCTTCTGACATATGATGGCCAAGGAAAAAGTGCTGCCAGGAGGATTTAGTCCCTTTCCTCATTTCATTTGTTCCCAGTTCCTCTAGTCATTGCCTAGCTCCCCTTACTAATCCCTGGGACAACCAAACCTATCTAGTTTCCCAGCACTCAAAGGATTACCATGCCTCCTTTCTGAAGTCTGGTATTAGTTATTGTTTTCTTTAGCTGTATTTTATTTTATTATTTTATTATTCTTTTCTCTTTCTTTTTTATTTCTTTATTCTTTTCTCTATTCTTTTTTTTTTTTGGCGGCAGGGAGTGGTACTGGGGATCGAACTAAGGACCTTGAGATTGCCATGCAGCGACTGTCGCTGAGCTAGCTACATCCCTGGCTGGCTGGCTGGCTGGCTTGCTTCCTTCCTTCCTTCCTTCCTTCCTTCCTTCCTTCCTTCCTTCCTTCCTTCCTTCGTTCTTTCCTTCCTTCCTTCTTTCCTCCCCCCTCTCTTTCTTTCTTTCTGTGTGTTTTAGGACAGGGTCTAATTATATAGTTCTGGCTGGCCTTGACCTCACTATGTAGCTCAGACTGGCCTTGAACTCATGGTGATCCTCCTGTCTCAGCCTCCTGAGTGCTAGGATTACAAGGGTGTGCCACCATGCCCAGCTCTTTAGCTGTATTTTAAACTCTTAATTTAGCATACATGTTGAGAAACCAGGAAGAGGAGATTAGAAACTGGCAAACTAAATATTCTCATCCCTACCTTGAGAGGATTTTCTCCTTCTTTGGAAAGCTGGGCATAAATCAGGAATATTTTTGATGCTGAAACATAAAACCTACAAAACTCACAGTGTTTAAAAATTGTTTGGATGTTCAAAGGCAAGTTATAAATAGTTGTTACAAATGGGGAGAAAAGATTATTTTAGTTCAGGGTGAGACCTTGTCCACATAATGGGGAAGGACAAGCTGCAGTGGACAGTGAGTTCCTGAAGGACAAAGCCCTCCCTGGTGTGACCTGGCTTAGGAAGCTGCCAGCCTCATGCCAAATAGCCTGGCCTTGCCCTGGTTGAGACTCTTGTGTTCCCACCAGGATTTCTGTGCATACCTTAATACGTTTAGATACATAGTCTGTGGGAGCCCCTTTTTACTTCCCTTGCAGAATGGTTCATATCCTGTGACCTTGTGGAGAATAGGAATGATTTTAGAGGAGATTTGGGGGAATGAACATAGAATATACCTGCAGCTGTATGGTGAATGCTTCCACTTTCATTTCCAATGGGCAATTTTAAAAACCTTTTTTATTTTAGAATAATTATAGATTTATAGAAAAGTTGCAAAGTTGGTAACATAGAATACTGTAAACCCCAAAATTTCTGCACACCTCTCACCAGTCTCCTCCATTGTTGATATCTTCTGTAACCATGGCACATCTGTCAGTCCTGGCATCATACTGTGAGCTAGAAGGAGTCCTGTTAGTGTCTTCTCTCCGTCCCAGGACCCGGTCCAGCACACCCACTGCATTTAGTTGCCAGTTCTTCCTGGTCTCTTCTGCTCACGGCAGTTTCTCAGTCTTTCCTTGGTTTTTATAAGCCTCATAGTCAGTGGTTACATTTGTTATTCTAGTGCTGAGACTGAGGGTATAGGTTTTTGGAAACCATGCCATGGAGTGAAGGGCTCTTTTTTTCATATCAAAGAGGGAATGATATCAATATCGATTGTGTTGATGGAGCCACTGGTAATGTTGACCTTTATCACTTGGTTAGTTTGCCAGGGTTCACTTTTTTTTTTTTTTAACCTTATACATGCTAGGCAAGTGCTCTACCACTGAGCAACATCCCCAGCCCTCAGTTTCCCTGTCTTCTATTCCTTAGAAGTGAGTCACTAGGCCCAGCCCAAGGGGCCATTTTAAGAGTGATGCCTGCGCTCTTGTGATACATACTTCTCCACTGTGCAGTCGCCCATGATTTTACTGAGGGTGAGGTTGTTACTGTCCAGGGCTATTGCAGACCACCAGAAATGTTCACACACTCAGAGAGAACAGATGACCCACTGACCTGAGCCCAGGTGAAGTATAAACCCCCTGTGAACACATCTGAACGTATGTTTATGATCTGCTAGGTTTTAGGCATGGCTTTCATGACTTTGAAAGTCAGACATTACATTTTGAGTTCCTACCCCATTTGTCAGGTTTTTACAAAATTATAGTCATGGAGGTTAGTACTAGTGGCTCCAAAATAGTCCTTGAATGGGTCCATTTTTTCCAGTGTGGAGGCTCCTGAAACCCTTAAAGTTTTCAGTAACAATAAAGACAGTTTTGCTCTGATTGCTCTTCAGGGTGTGATGCAGGGAACCGTACCCTACCTGGGCACCTTCCTGACCGACCTGACCATGCTGGATACTGCTCTTCAGGACTACATCGAGGTGAGCAGTGTGTGGGTAATGTAACTAGGCCTGCAGCCTTCTCTTTGGGATCTCAGCAGAGAAATTCACAGCCGGTTATACGTGTGCTACTGTGCTGGGTGCTAGGAAGATTACAGAGTAACACAAAAAGGTAGCACCACAAGTGGCTCCAAAGCCAATGGGAGGAATAATATATCAAAGTAGGCAGCGATTTATAGAAATACTGGATATTCAAACAGAAAGGCCATGAGACATGAGGGGATGTGATGAAAAGACCTCATGAAACAGTGGGTACGAGCAAGACTTTGATGTTGAGTAGAATATTACAGATGGAGTTGGAGGAATATGTCCTAACATTGTACCTAGGGGGTCAGGAGTGAGTCAAGTTTGTGAATTTTCAAGTAAACCCCCTCTTTTTGTATTGTTCCTTGTTCTGAGGCATATACTCTCTCTCTCTCTCTCTCTCTCTCTCTCTCTCTCTCTCTCTCTGTGTCTCTCTGGCTGGGGAAAGAGGTGATACTTGTTAGTAGCAGTAATAAAATATTAAGTGGGGAGGAAATTTGATATTTGAAATAAGATTTGAAGATTACTTATATATTTAAGTATATTCTAGTTAGCTGGTTATCATGCACAAACAGCCTGCTTTTATTGTATGTAACTGGAAAGAGGAGAAGTTACTTTGCTTATAGTACAACTATAAGAAGGTTTGCCACGAGTATCCAGACATGTTCATTCATTTTGCATTTCCTGAGCTCTCTGTCTCTTCACATCCTCTGCCCCAGCTTATCTCAGGAAACACCCATCAGTGTTGGGGAACTTGGGGGGAGAGATCACAGATTTACAAGTTAAATTCATCCTACTGAGAATAGGAGTGAGAGGGATGAAGAATTGAAGCTTAACTTTTCATGATACTATGTAGAAGTGACTTCCCTTTTGATAAACCATTGACAATTTCGTTTTTAGTATGAGTCAGTGACCATCTGTTTTTGTTGCTTTTGGTCAAGGAAAAAAGTAGAATGGAATATTTATTCAATCATTTGTCTTTCCTGCCTCTGCAAATAACTTTGGGTTCTGACTTGTAATTATTTGTCATCACAGTTTAGTTTATTTCAGACATTTTAAGAGAAGATTGTCTACCTATCCTGCTCTATTGTAAATGAAAGAATATTTTTCTTAAAGTAAAAGATGGTTCTCTTCCTCTATAGTAGGCATAATTACAGGATCATTAATAATTATGATTTTATCATCCCTTTGAACTATTTTAATGTGACCTAGAGCAACATAGGGCTGTGTTTCAAAGAAGCTTGGTTGGTCACTCTATTTTAAACATTTCTTTCAGGGAGGACTGATAAACTTTGAAAAAAGGAGAAGGGTAAGTCTATGATTTTCCACTTTTCTTCATCTAGGCATGAAAAAACTTAAAGAGCAGAAAATTAAGGGTTTTTTTGGTAGAAGCAGAAAAAAAAGAATGTTTGTCGAGCATTTACTCTATGCCGTTGTGCTGGGCATGCTACTGTGCATGAGACCCAAGAGCCTGTGCGAGGCGAGTTTTATTATCCTTAGTTTAAACCGGGACTTGAGAGGTTAAAAAACTGGACCAGAGTTACCTGATCACAGAGCCAGAGCTCAGACCCTATCCTGCCTCTCTGAGGCCCATTAAGAAATTAATGGGCTTCAGTTTCAGCAAAAACAGGTCCATCCTATTTAATAACAATGTACTTGTATACTTAAAAATTGTAATGAGTAGATTTTAAGTATTCTCCTCATAAATAACTGTGGGAGGTAATTTATATGTGAATTATCTTGATTTAGCCATTACACAATATATGTATATTTCAAAACTTCACATTGTATATACACCATTAACATATAGAATTTTTATTTTTCAATTTTAAAAAAAGGTCACCCTGTTAAGGAGAAGGAGTTTCCTAAGAGCAAATGACAGAAGAATTAATAAAGCTGGCTAACTTTTGTGGGTCTGTTTAGGGAGAGGAAAGGAAGTGGTCTTCACTAGTAGGTAGAGGTAATTATTCCTGTCCTCTCGTCAGTATTAGAAGGGGTGTTCACCATTAATTTGAATTTTTTGTGGATAGAAAAGTTTTGAGTTATGATAAAAAAGATAAAGCAAGTTTAACATTTTGCTATGGTTTTTGTGTCAAATGGTATATTTAAATATTTCACAGGAAAATGAGTGAGCAAAATAACTTCACCCACAGTAATCATATTTTTTTTAGTAAGTCATTTGTTCTTTCATCCTACAAATGGAGCTCGGGGGATGGCAGCAGAGAAAAACCAGAGCTCCCTGCCCTCATAAAATCACAGTCTAGGACGGAGATAGACAAATAAATAAGGGCTTATGAGCACAAGTAGTGGATCTCAGAGAGGCATGCAGAAGGGGCATCTATCCCCAATTTGTAGGGTCAGAAAAATTTGCAAGAAGAGATGACATTGAAATAAAAAATGAAAGGACACTGGAGGAGCTATCTAGGCTGAGCTCATCAGTAACAAGATACTTCAATGAACATTAATTTTCTGCTCCTCATAGCATATACTATCTTCTTTAGCATGTTAATAAATATTCCTTGATGATATTGAGACCAAGGCCTGAAGTTACTGGATGGAAATTTGAACCCAGAGAATCTACCAGTTCTTGTGTTACTTCTGTCATCTTCCGTAATGATATACTTTTTAAAAATTCAATTATGCCTCCGCAGTAACCATTTTTGTTCTTTAACTTCAGAATAAGCCTGGATGGTAATTTCTTCCCTTGTAAGACTAAGATGTTCAACATTCAGAAAGTTTATTATAAAACCCGAAGCTAAAGTTTATATTCATTGCTGACTTTAAAATAATCTATTGAACCATCTAAGGAGATATAAATAATTTGGGACATAATTATATACTTGCTTTTCTTGTGAGCTTTAGAAGATTTAGTTAAATGATTTACTGGAGTAGTAAAAACCTAAGGATTCAGGAAATCTAAACATTGGACTTTATGAGCCACTGAACTGTTTAGATATTCAACCTATTTATTAAAGGGGTAAGGGTTGAAGAAGTTGAGGATGGGGAACTTGGGAGATTCTTGACTTTAAATTATTTGTTTTGTTTATATTTTAAGAAATAGAAATACAAAAGTTTCACATATGTTATGAAGTATGTACTTAAAACCTTAAAAAATAACCTTTGTATTCTAGAATGAAAACGGAAAAGAAAGGAAGCCATTATGACTTTTGGTAGTGACTGGTTTGGCTGACCTTGGTAGCTTGTTTTATTTATATGAATTTTTTTCAAGGAGAAAAGAGGTTTAAAAATCAAAGCATATGAGGACTTAATAGAGATTCAGAGTTAGATCGCCCTACCTCAGTGCTGGGGATTAAACCCAGGGCTTTGAGTATTCTAGTCAAGCCCTCTACCACTGAGCTATAATCTCTGCCCTCAGAGTTAGAATTTGTGAGAGTTCTCCAGATAGTTTATGTCTATGGAAGAACTATTTCAAGGTTCTCCTCTTTTTATTCTAAAATGCTGTATTTTCATGTTGAAAAGATCTATATTTGGTTGGCCATATTAGTCACTCTTTCTTTTTGCTATTCTGTCTGCTTTAGGAATTCGAAGTGATTGCCCAGATAAAGCTCTTACAGTCTGCTTGCAATAGCTATTGCATGACCCCAGACCCCAGGTTCATCCAGTGGTTCCAGCGGCAGCAGCTCCTCACAGAGGAGGAGAGGTAGGCTTGCCTGTCATCATCAAGGTGGAACTGAGGTGCAGGCGAGAGGAATCCGGTACCTCATGTGTCCCTCAACAGCTGTTTGGTGGCAGCTACTTTGGTTTTCCAAGGAGGGTGGTGTGGAAGTGAATTGATAACATCAGAAGATAAGCGTTCAGTATTGCTCTGCTACACATTTATCTTTGTAGCCTGGAACAAACCTTTTATTCTTCCCTATGTTTAGGATGCTCACCCATAAAATGCTTTGAGGCTTAAGTAAACTCATATTTGGGAAAGCATCGTTAGAATGCAGATCATCCTCACGGTTGTCACCGCCACTCTCACTGTCATCATCACCATGTTTGTCTCTAGTGTTAAGAGTGTTAGCTGTCAGGGAGCTTTCAGTCTAGGGATGGAGACAGACTCATGAAGAGTTGAAATATGATGGATAAGTAAAGTGCTGCAGAATGAACAGACAAGAGCAGTTCATTTACCATGGGTAAGGAGGGCGGTAGGGAAGATTTATGGCCACCTCCATGGAAGCTGGATCTCACTGGAGAAGAACGTTCCAGAGAGAGAACACAAGCAAAGGCCTGCTAGCCTGACAGACTTGGCATTTGGAGAAACAGTGGTAACTGGGACACAGGGTGCAGGGTTGATGAATATAGACAGGCACATTAACTCTAGTGCTTTGAATGTGGACCCAGTGGGGATTCAGGCCTTTCCTGTAGTCTGATGGATGTCAGATTAGTCTGTAGGCCATATGTGGTCCACTGCCTGTTTTTTAAAAAATTTTATTTTATTGGTACATTTTAGGTATACAATATAATGACATTCATCATTGGAAATTTGCACCTTTACATAGTCTCTCTTGGTTCTTATTTTTTTCCCCCTTCCCCTGCCTGCCTGTTTTTATATTTTTTAAGTGATTGGGAAAAAAGAATATGACATGGGACAGTTATTTGAAATTCAAATTTCAGAATCCATAAATAAAATTTTATTGGAACACAGCCCATTCATTTACATCTTATCTATGGTTGCCTTCATGCTTTAAAGACAGAGTTGAGTAGCTGCAACAGAGACCATACGGCCCATAAACCTAAAATACTTATTATCTGCTCTTTTCCAGAAGATGTTTGCTGTTCTCTGCTGTAGACCAGGGAATTTCTTTGAAAGTTTGTCATAAGAGAGAGTGAACTTGACAGCAAAACAAGTATTTGTTGATGACAGGCTGGGGTTTGGAGGAATATTATAATTAGTCAGTGAAAGCGTTTAGGTTCCTACTCAGGTCTGCCCACCTCCACAAGCTCTCAAGGTGGTTGTGTAATGCTGGGCGCCCTTCCCCAGCTGCCCTGTAACCATGTACATCTGCAGCCTGAGCTACAGTCTTTCAAAAAAGGCATTTCAATCAGACATAAATCCTTCTTGTGCATCTTTCCTGGCACAAGATGTCCCAGATGTCTGAATCTGGGAGTCTTTTTAATTTAGGATGTTTTGGCAACTAGGAATCATAGTTACAATCATATTTATTTATTTTTATAAAGTAATTGTCTGTGTCTATTCATGAAGGTTAGATATTGTACAAAAATCTCCTTTCATTTCCCTTAGATAAAAGTCATGAATGTATGTGCACACACATACACACACTCACATGCACACGAAGTCGTAGGAAGGAGACAGTAGAGAAGAAATAGGAGGAGGGTGATACAGGGAGGAAGATCTTCCCCTGGCCTAGCAGTGGGGTGAGAATGGAGTCAGCTTTTGCTGCTGTGAAGTGCACATATCCTTGTATTTGAGGCATAAGAAGTAAACAGTCTCAAGCCTGCACCAGTGGAGGGGAGGAGGGAAATTTATAAAATCTGACCATCAAGTAAGTACTTTCTGAGATTCATGTTAGTGTTTACATTCTTTTTTTTGTTTTTTTTGGTACCAGGGATTGAACTCAGGTCCTTGCGCTTGCATAGCAGGCGGCGAAACCACTGAGCTAAATCCCCGGCCCAGAGATTCATGTTAGAGCAACATAGTCTGTGTCTTTATTTCAAATAAGCAGAGCCTTCCTCTAAAGTGAAACCAGTAAGTGATGAGAATTTAAATCCGTTCTTTAGTTCTCAGACTTTAACCTTTCTCTCTTTCCCAGCTATGCCCTCTCCTGTGAGATTGAAGCAGCCGCTGAAGCCAGCACCACTTCGCCCAAGCCTCGGAAGAGCATGGTGAAGAGGCTCAGTCTGTGAGTGCACCGCCCCCTGGAGTCCTAGGACAGCAGAGTGAGGGAGAAAAAATACACTCAAGGGCCCTGGGGGCCAAGCAAAAGTGCACATTCACTTAGGGAGCTTATCTTTCTGTCATGAGCTGGAAACGCTTGTTAAATCCATTCATTCTTCTCCTCTCCTTCTCTGGCGTGAACCACTGTTACCTCCTTCCTGGACCAGGACAGAAACAGCCTTGGTGTCTGTCCCCTGGCTGCTCCTTGGTCCCAACAGCCTTTCTCCACCGAAGAAGCTGGTGATCTTCTGAGCAATAGATGGTGTCACTGTCTTTATTAAAACCCCTCATAGTTTTATTTTAATATAAATATAATATAAAACTATTTAAACTCCTGATCCTAGTTTCCTATGCACTATGTGACCTTCTTTCCACTTTCCCTCCCTTATAACACTCCCCTTTGCTCCCCAAGACCCATAACGCCAGCCTTGTCACTGTGCTTTGACCATGGCCTGTTCCTGCTTCAGGGCCTTCACACCAGTTGTTCCTACGGCCTGGGTTGCTCTGTTTTCATGGCTAGCTTCCTCAGGTGTTGGCACAAATGTTACCTCCTGAGAGAGAACCCTCGCTGATGTTGCTGTCTACCCAATCATTCTTATTTGTGCTGACTCTTTCCTTCAGGGCAGTGTACGCAGTCTGAAAACAGGAACCTGTCTTGCCCGTAGTGCTCCACGCCTAGCTGAGGGCCAGGTAGATGAGAGTCTTCTCCCAGCCAACTTCACAAGCTCTGTCTCCCATTGAATGAAGTCCAGAGTACTGAGTACTTAGCAATAGAACAGTTATTTAACCATTCTAAGTTCTTATTTAAATTAACTACATTTTTCACTTAGAACTGAAAATTTTTTTCAAATTATTCTCTTGTTCTTTTGTCAGAATGTCTTGCTCTGAAGTCCTGTTTTTAATTTTTCTCATATGTCTTTAACGTCTTTAAACGTGCTTATTTTAATAGCATGGCTTATGATAGACATGCAAATATTTGTTGAATGAATGAACAAATTACTAGTTTCTTTCTGGCAGTCCTCATACCTGAGGTTCTCAGGTATCTGAACCTGGGATTATGCCTGTTGACTCTCTGAGTGGAATGTTTTCTTGTGTGTATTTGTGTAGTGTAGTATTGGAAGCTCATCTTTATCAGGGAATTCTCTGCAGCCTGGCTTGAAGGTATATCCTTCCGCCTCCCTACTTTCTTTGCCCTCCCTTCCTTCTTCCCTCCCACCTACTCTCCTTCCCTCCCTCTATCCCTCCCTCCTTGAATTCATCCCTCCCTTCTTCCTTTTGTTATCCTTCTTCCCTCCCTCCCTTCCATCCATCTACTTTTCCCCTGTGTGTCACTGGCCTGAGATACCATAACTTCAAGACCACGTGGGTAGCAAATCAGTGACACACAGGCCAAGCTCACGTATGATTTCAAGGGATATATTTTTCTTCCAACCAAGCAGGCCAAGACAGCTATGTTTCCCTGTTGTTTTCCTGTGCAACTAGAACATATTTTTATAGCCTCTCTCTTTACTAAGAGTACAGCTCTTTGAGGGCCCTGGCCATCTATAAGGGGTTTTGTTTTTTCACCTTTTATAAAGCAGGCCCTCATCTTTGAGTCCTGTGTACATACTAAAAACCATGATCAATGCATGGTGTATGCATAGGTGGAAATATCATACTGAACCTCAGTAGTATGTACAATTAACATGTGTTATTAAAAATATTTTTAAATCACTATTTTGCCAAGATCTGTCAATTCCCCAAACAAAGCAGCTGCAGAAATAGCTTATATGCTTCTAGTTTTCAGTTCCCTTTTCATTCATGACCTTTAGGGATTTCCCTTAGCATTCTGCAAGTTCAACTGAAAGGAGTTGTTATGTTATATTTCTTACCTAGTTGTTTTATAGAGGAGGGGTTTGGGTTATTGCAGGTCACCAGATGATTGGAAGTAGAAGTCCTTCTCAGTTTCTTACTCAAACCACGACAGCTTTGTGAAGTTCATTTTTCAGCCACGTGAGGTTCATTTTATGGTAGAAAGTTACAGGAGTGTGGTGGTGATATTTTGCTTCTGTCAAAGTGGTCTGTAGACTATTAAAAAAATAGAGGAACATTGACCTAGAAAGACTCCAGATTTGGCCGCTAAACAACCAAGCAAGGACAAGGACCTGAGTTCCATCTCTGGTAACCCCCCCCCCAAAAAATACTAATAGCAATACTAAGTCATACAAGACTGAGAAACCATCGAGGACTTACTCTGCAGAAAGTATTTTCTTGGCCTGGGGATGTAGCTCAGTGGTTCCACCACCTGCCTCGCAAGCACAAGGTCCTGAGTTCGATCCCCAGTACCAAAAATAATAATAATAATAATAAAAAGTATTTGTTGAATCATGGATTCCAGATTTGTAACCGCCTGAGTGCTTGACGTTCTGTTTTCTGCAGACTGTTTCTGGGGTCTGACATTATCACCAGCAGCACTCCCACCAAAGAGCAGCCCAAGTCCACAGCCAGCGGGAGCTCCGGTGAAAGCATGGACTCAGTCAGTGTGTCATCCTGCGAGTCGAACCACTCAGAGGTGGAGGAGGGCTCCATGACCCCCATGGACACCCCTGATGAGCCTCAGAAAAAGGTGCATGCGTAACCCTTTTCACCCTTCCTCATGCAGGCTTCTGACAAGGTTTCTGCCACCCAAGGAGTGTCTGCTTTCAAGTTCATTGTGATGTTTTCGAAGTCAGGTTTTGAAGAGGAATCAAAAGCAGGGTTCAATTTGGGGACTTATTCCTTATAAAACAAGTGTAAATGCAGTAATCAGATTGATTTGTTCTTTGGCCTTTCAAATATTATTCAGTACTCACATGTAAAGGAACTAAAGAACTGACTAATAACAAGCTGTACAGTACTTTATTCTGGGGAAGTAGCATTGCTTAGAAGGAGTGAAAAAGTCAGTGTCAGAGGTGTTGTGTCAACTTCTTGGTGCCAGACTTTGTCTTAACCAGGCTTTTGTCAGTATAATATTGCACAGCAAACTGCTCCTGGGACGCAGAGTCCCTGGAATGGCTCAGTGACTTAACAGCCATTCATTCTCTCTCATGCATCTCAGGGGTTGGCTAATTTGATTCAGGCTTGGTCCTAGGCTAATTTGGGTCCAGATCTGTTCTACCTACCCCTCATTGTTTTTGGAGTAATAGACTACCAAAAGCATGCTGTTAACATGCTAAGACAGATGAAGAAGAGGATGAGCCCAACCCTGCAAGCACATAGAAAGCCTTTACTTGGTTCATATTACTAATATTCCACTGGCTAAAGCAATCATGTGGTCAAATCTCATATAAACAAACAAAGCAGGGACATATGCTCCATTTTTAGTGGGAGGAACTGTAAAAAACCACAGGGCAAAGGCATGGACACAGAAAGGGTGAGGAATTGGTAGTGATGATACAATCTACCATGTCTGAAACAAATGGTAGTGATAAGTGATAAAAGAATTCTCATAGACTTCCATTTATCATGGCTGCATAAATAAATGAAAAGAAAACAAAAGATCAGTCTTAATATTATGTACACATCCACTTCAATCTAGCGGTCAGGGAGCTTGGATCAGAGAGGTCAACTTTGCTATGACTAGGACTTACACTGGGGGATATTTTTGGCCACCACACTTGCTCTGTAGTGACTTCTGGCCTCTTAGCTTATGCTTTTAGGTAGAGTGTTCAATCCCATCACTTTGTCTGCTGCCCTGCAAAGGGAGCTGTGTGTTATTAGCAATAATGTGGTGTTATTAGCAATAATGGCAATCTTGGAGCTCTCCGGTGACTTTGTCACAAAGGAGCCAATCCAGGAGAGGCCCTGTATTCAGGGTCCATCAGATGAAGGTGGCTCACATTGCTGCCCCAGTTGGATTTCTCACCTTTTTTCTGAGAGTCCACGGAATACAACCCTTTGTGCTCTGAATGTTAAAGAAAAAGCTCTGCAAATCCCTGTGGAGTGGCTCTTCTCTCAAAAGACTCATTTCTTAAACCCGGAATGTAACCATTCTCCAAAGTGTGACAGATAGTGCTGGTCTTGTCAAAATCTAGAAAGGAGTCTCATTCACTTTTGAACAGGCTGTTGTGCTTGGTAGGGCCCGTATCTGGTGATGAATAGTGTTCGAAGGTGACCGCTGAGGTATTACCCACATCTTTGGGGAATTTCTCCCTATTTAGGAAGGAGAGAATTGTGTTCATATCCGCTGGCACAGAGGAAGGGTGCCTAAGTTGAGATCAGCCCTTTTAAGTCATACAGATGCCTAGGGTGCTGGTCTTTGCAGGCCCCTTGCTTCATGTTATTTGCTTCAACCCATACCCTATTGTTTGATTCTTGCACAAGTCGTGGCTTTTTATTCTTTGGATTAATCTGAGAGTCATGACTTTCTGGAGATTTAAGGATGAGTGCTTGACTTGGATGCAAGAAGTTCCTGGGATGCAGAGTCCCTGCATGTTGCCTAGAAAGGCTCAGTTCTCCTGCTTAGTGCCTAGGTGGGCTTGGTTGCCCTCCGCAGTGTCTTTTGGCTGTAGACCATCACCTTCCTGCCCACAGGCTACACTGTGAGGTTACTCTCTTTTAAAGTGAAGTGTAATTCGCATTCCCTTTCTTCATTCTCCTGATCATAATTTCTGAACATTTATATTCGCAGTTGCTCCTCACTACTTAAGTGCTCAATAAGAACAGGGCCTGGGTTCACCAGGTGGTCTCTTTATAATCACAATTATCTTAATTATAAATGTTAGAAACATGGAAATCCAACAAAGGAAAAAGTCTGTATAAAAGAAAATAAAGGTAAAAAGGTGAATTAGTATTTGGAAGATGGATCTAACTTGACTGTGCTACTAAAATTATCCACCATCACCTCTCAGATTGAACTACTGAGTTGATTTACTTGGGAAGATAAGAAAAAAATAAAACCCAAAATAAAAAAAGAAAACCATGTTCTGGTAGATACAGTTACTCCAGCATATCAGAATCATCACATCAGCTTACCGGCTCTAATTAAACAAAACATGTAGTAGAATTTAAGCAGCCTCCAGGACATAAGATAATGTAGACTTTATTTTACTTAGAAGCCAGATTATCAGAAAGCAAAACTTCTGTACTCTGTTTCCATGGAAGGGCAGACAAGTATGAAAGAAGTTAATGTTGTTTATTTTTAAAAGACTTCCAGAATATTTTATAGGATTAATATGGTATAATTTACCTTAAATAATTCCAAGAGGTTATAATTTCTCTATAAGGACCGGAATTTAAAATGGTTCAATTTAATGAGTTTTTAGGGTGAAATCTCTCTTTTTAAAAAAATTCTTTTATTGTTACATTTTAGGTATATAGCACATTTACATTTATCATTCGGTGCTTGTACCTGTACATGATGTATCTTGGTTCTTATTTTATTCCCCATTACTTGTGCGCCCTTCACCCCCTCCACCCTTCCCTATGTACATAGATTTCGTTTCCATTTTTTTTCTTTTCTCATAATTTTTCCTTTCCCTTTTCCCTCCCACCACCCCTACACCTTTGGACCTTTTCCTATTTCAAATTATCAGTTATTTGTTTTAATCATTTTAATCCTTATTTACACTTTCAGTTTCTCACACTAGAGAAACTATTCGATATTTACACATGTGTGTCCTGTTTATTTCACTTAAGAGTATGGCCTCAATATGCATCCATTTAGCTGTAAATGTCTCTAGTTTCTCATTCTTTATAGCTGAGTAGTACTCCATTTTATTTAAAAAAACCCCACATCTTCTTTATCCAGTTTCCAGTTGTTGGACACTTGGGCTGTCTCCAAACCTTAGCTATTACAAACTGTGCCGCTATAAACATAGGTGCACATATTTGCTATGGTATGATTCTTTTAATTCTTTGGGGAAGATCCCCAGCAGGGGACTAGCTGGGTCAAATGGGACCTCTAGTCCTAGTTCTTTGAGGTATCTCCATACTGATTTCCACAGTGGTTGCACCAGTCTACACTCCCACCAGCAATGGAGAAGGGTTCCTTTCTCCCCACACCCCCACCAGCATTTGGTATTGGTTGATTTCATGATAGCAGCCATTCTTTCTAGAGTGAAGTGGAATCTCAGCGTTGTTTTCATCTGCATCTCTCGAATGACCAGTGATGTTGAACAAGGGTGAAATCTCTTAATGAGTTTTAAGCATCCTCTTTCTTTGGTAATTGGTGTTGCATGAATGATAAATATATGGTTAACTTGAAAAGCACATTAATTGTAGCACCCCATTTCTCAGTTGTCCTAGATATATGGGATGATAAACTATACTTGATCTTAGCCAAAAAGCCGAGAAGCGATTATGAGGTGATAAAAAATACTGCGTGGTGAATGCTTATTTAAAAAATTTAATACAGTAAGTGACCCATACAGTAAATGACACTAATCCCTCAAAATAGTCAAAATATTCCTCTTCGCTTTGAACATTTATTCTATGATTTTTGCCAATGTGTCTTTTACTGTAATTTTAAAAAATTAAATATTCACCATAGTTTTTGATCATCCTGGTGTGGACTGTGAACATGTGTACAGCTGATTCTAGAGCAAATGTGGCAGAGCCAGTCAGAGGCTGTGTTCCCTTGGTCAAGTACTTGATTTCTCTGAATCTTACTCTCTTCATCTTTATAATCCTCTGGTTTTTGTTCACATGACAGTTACAAGATCTAAATAACGTAAAATACATGAAAACTTATTAGCGACCTCAGTGTGCTAAAACATCCCAAGGTAACGACATACTGGGTTAATGCACCATGTTATCTGCAGTAGCAGACCGAGCCCTGGCTATGCTCTTGCTCCGTGGGTGATGGTGGAAGTGAGGGAACAGGGATGCTCATCCTGGTGGAACTGTCAACTGGCTGTGTGAACCTGGAGCCCTGGTTTCTCCCAGAGTCTCCGGCTCCTGGGCATGAGAAAGGGAAGAGGGCCAGGTGATCTCTCAGGCAGGCCCTTTCCCGCACTCACATTCCATGCAGAGACATAGTCTGTATTCCTTATCTTAGAAACTTCCAAAAATACAGCCATTTGTTTCCTACTACAAAATCTGATTGTGGAGTCAGGACAGAATGATCTCCATGGCGATACTGAAAACTGTTGAGGCTCAAGGCAGGGTTCAAGACTGAAATGCTGGGAAGCTCCTCGGTCTGCAGCCCTAGAAGCTGATTTACTTCAGGAGCCTGTACTGGCTCTAGTTTGTGGCAATGCTGCCCCCTGCTGATTGAATTTCATACAAACAGCTAAAAACTAGGAAAATTAGAAAACCTCTTTGTCTCATGTGTGGTTATAATTGGGTTACACTGAGTCACTGAAAGGCATCTACCATAGGGGATATGTTCACACCAGCAGCAAGATATGTGTGGGCTGAAGTTTACTGGCCTTGGTATCTGCTTCTGCCTTGAAAGTAGATCCCTGTTGGCCCAGATGCTAATAGTTGTTTTCTTCTGGGATGTGTTTAATCTTCCAGCTCTCTGAGTCCTCCTCATCGTGTTCCTCTATCCATTCCATGGACACAAATTCCTCAGGGATGTCGACCTTACTCAACCCCCTCTCTTCCCCGCCGTCCTGCAACAACAACCCTAAAATCCACAAGCGCTCTGTCTCTGTGACGTCCATTACCTCCACAGTACTGCCCCCCGTTTACAACCAACAGAACGAAGACACCTGCATCATCCGCATCAGCGTAGAAGACAACAATGGCAACATGTACAAGAGCATCATGGTAAGGAGCTCACCCGGCAGCACTGAGAGTTCCATTTAGGCTGCTTCTCCATGTCTGTTGGCCACTCAGACCACACGGTCATAGTTACCTGTATGTGCACGTAAAATGAGTATGTATTTTGTACGATTACCTGTTTGTTTCTTCTTTTTAAGAGAAAATCTTTTTTGTCTGGCTTGTACTCTGAGTAGCTACTTTGAAGATAATGATACATAGTATATTGACTATTGTTATTCTCTTATTATTTTGCTAGGAAATTTGTTTTATTTTTTCATAAAATCAAAAAAGAAGACTAAAAAAACTATGTACAGAACAAAATCTCCATGGGTATTAATGGTATATTTATATGAAAATATATCTGCCAACAGTGCATATAGGATGTAATTTTTACATTTTAAAAATTTCTAACACTTATTCATCCAGATCAGTGCCACCTTTTTTCAAATTGTTCAATTTGGAGTTGGAAAAAGGAGAAGTATTTTAATGCCTTTTCAGATAACTGTAGGTGTGCTTCTTATGGGTCAAGATTAAATAAAATTGTTAATTTTTACTGCTTTCTCAAGGACATTCTCAAGTGAAACTGGCTTTTTCTTTTTGTTTTTTTACTGTGAGTACAAGTTACTGGCGAATACAGTAAAAGTAAAGCCCTGTACTAGTTTGAGCTAAGGTGACAGCAGTTCATCCACCATTGCTTTTGCAATAACAATGTAGATGTCAACACAAGCAGAGAGACAAACAACATCTTAGTACTATTATGAAAACAATTTTGGATCCTCTCAAAGATCTCAGGGACTACAGAGGCCCTACATTTTCCATTGAGAACTGCTGGCTTAGAGAACTTGCTTTGTAGGAACTGCTCTGTCTCCTAGTTTGTATTCTTTCATAGAAAGTAGCCCTCATCTTCCCACTGACCATGGTTAAGTGTCTTCTACCACCCACCATACCCATCACTCTTTCTAAATGATATTTCTCACCATTATGTCAATCATAGAATCAGAGTCCTGAGGCCCCTTAAGAATGCAATATTCATGGTCACAGGAGGGCACATGATGCTGATAACTAAGCATCATTCATTACTGTGCCTTCAGTATAGTAGCCACCAGCTGCATGTTGCAACTGAGCATTCAAAATGGGAATAATTTGCAAAGAGCTGTGAGTAAAAATATATACCAGATTTTAAAGACAGCGCAAAAAACCCCAAAACTCACAAACAATTTTTGTATTGATTATACAAAGCAATGATATTTTGGATGTGTTATATTAAATAAAATATTATTAAAATTAATTTTGTTTTTAGAATGTTTTTAAAATGTGGACATTAGACAGACTTAGATATGTGGCAGTGCCAGTTCAGCCTGAGGATACATGACTGAGCTGGCCATACAACTGTTACCATTCATTCCCCACATAACTTTTACGGTACAAGGTAATAAACACCCAAGGAAAGCCTTTGGCCACCATCCTCATTTTATAGTCTGGCTTTCCCCTTAAATGATTCCACAACTTAGCCTAATACTCACCCCCAAGTGGTGTCCTATCTTTTTTGCTTTATGCTGCTAGTCCTGATTAACCCAGTTTGGGGAAATGTCTTTTAGACTATCAGAAACATTTGTTTCCTTTACAATTTTGTGTGCACCCATTTTTTCCCTTGTAAATGGCTGTGCCAGATGTTTTGTTACTAGAAAAATGAACGGGGTCTTTATTGCATACAAGGACCCGATTGTAATCCATGCTATTTATTGAATCGCAAACACCAGCTGCTGCCAAGATCAGAGGGGGGCATCCAAGTCACTGCCATCCTTGATTCACAGTGACATTTTCTGGGTGGAAATTAGCATGTCTGTGCGTATGTGTAGGGGTGTGTGTGTGTGTTTCTCTCCGTGGTCCTCTTCCCTCCTGGTGAGAACAACTTGATTTTTAAGAATAATCTGAGTTTTCCTTTGCTTCTTTTGCATTCAAAGGAATCACTCACAGTGTGTATATAAGCCAGCCCTGAGCCCTTACCAATGCCTTGCTAGTGGATGGAGATGAAGACAAAGTCAGATTTGCAAATGACGGGACCTTTACTGAGAAGCTGATTTTTACTGAAGCATAACTTAAATACAATTACACGCTCAAATCTTACATATTCAGTTCTTTGAGTTTTAATAACAATATACATCTGTGTAATTGCCACCCCAGATCCAGATAAAGAGCATTTCTGTCCCCTCAAATTCCCAATCCCCCTTAACCTTGAAATTAGCTTTCTAATGCCACAGATTATTTTTTTCTGTTTTTAAAAGAATAGACTCCAACAGTATATAATCTGTCCTTTGCTGGACAGGAAGTTTTTGAGATTTGTCTATATTGTCACTACATTGTCACACAGGCCAGTCTTGGTTTATTGGTGCTTGGAAGTATTCTGTAGTGAATACCTTATCATTTCTTTATAGATGCTTCTGTGCGCCTGTTGATGGTTTTGGGCTGTTATAAATAAATATGCTATGAATACTTGTATGCACGTCCTGTGAACTTACATTTGCAATCCCTTTAGGAGTGGAACTACTGATCATAGGGTTGCTTGTGATTTTGAAATGATGAAAGGGCAGAACTGAAGCCCTTTCCGTGCCACTGGCTATAAGCAGTGTCATAGCAGCAGGTCAACTTGTGAGAATCATCTTGGCCCAGGACTGATGATGCTTTACATTTTTTACAGTCCCCTCATATATTATTTCTTGTGGAAACCTCATCCAGGGCGGGGGCAATAGGCAATGCAGGTGTTGCCATTTGAACAGGGCGGGACACTGTGACTCTGAGAGATCAAGTGACTTTCCCATCATCTTTTGTCCATAAGGGTGGAGCGGGGACTAGAATTCAGGAGTCCTGGCTCCTGGTCCTATCGTTATACCTTTAGTCTCCTTCTAGAGAGGGGTGCACAACACAAAATATCAAGGAAGAGAAGGTCAGGAAGACTCACTCGGGAAGCGCAAAGCTAAATCGTTTAGAAATACACTCATTGTCTTTGCAGTTGACAAGCCAGGATAAAACCCCTACCGTGATCCAGAGAGCAATGCTGAAGCACAATCTGGACTCAGAGCCCGCCGAGGAGTACGAGCTGGTGCAAGTCATCTCGGAGGACAAAGGTGGGCATGTGTTCCTTCTGGTGGCAAGTGCCAGGAGCTTGTCCATACTGCTCCCCAGCTGCTGAAGGCAGAAAAGGGATTTAAACTTTTAATCAGAGCCTGGTTGTGGTTTTTAATCACGCAAGGGTGAAAAAACCCATGCCATCACCTCACTTGTGGAATGAAGCGTCTCAAGCTGCTTTCACCCACCCACCAACTCTTGTTTTTCTACATTTTTGCTAGGAATTCTTCTGCCTGTTCTTTGTACACTGCTCATCAAGCAATTTTCTAGGAAGAGGTCTCTCTGTGTGGCAGGAGGCAGGATGTAGGTGGGGAGTCTGCTGGGTCTTCCCAGATGGCCACACACCTCCTTCATCTGATAATGTGTTTCTCCGTTGTACATGAACCTACATGTTAGCAGCCTGTGGAAGAATTTCTCATTATTTCAGTTAATCATTTATGAGAGTCTTCAGGATCATGCATGTTTGCTTAAGCTATTTTATTTATGGTGCATATTTATTATGATCAACTTCTGTTTTGAAGTTTCTTTCCCTCACTCATATTGAGGCATAGAGCTGATGGTCTGTGAAAGCCACCAATACACCCAGCAAACGATTATTTAAAGAAATCCCTTTTCCAAAGCCTCAGGGGACAAATAATCACCCCTGGAAGTATTATTTGCTTATTTGAATTGGGGTGTTTTTTTGAGAGGAGGAAACAGGTTGGTAAATAACTTCCCTGTCAGATGGCAGAGACTAACCTAGAAAAGATTTCTTCTCCAAGTGAAGAAGGAGCAGCACATATTGTTGACCGAGGGCAGTGCTGTGTGCCACAGGCCCAACATGGACCACTGTGTAAAGGAGTAGGCAGTGTGGGAGATGGGAAGGAAGAGGATTCGCACTGCGTTTGAGCAGCAGATCACCCAGGCCTCCACATCAGGCTTAGAGGACAGTGGCTACAATTAGAACAGTACCTTGTCCTAGAGAGTAAAAGACACAGCTTCTGAGAAAATCCTTTTTCAGTTACCGCCAGAAGTTTTCTCACTCATTTCTCAACTTAGGTTGTGGGAAAACTGTCTCAGTTAATGAAGATTCAGTAAAAAATTGGGCTTATGAAAGTCAGCCTAGAAAGTAGTCTCTTGAGTTTTTCCAGATGTACTGTCCAGCGCAGTGGAGCCAGTGGGTCTGAAGATCGAGGGTCCTGAGGTGAAGCCTGGCCCATCAGCTGTGTGGTCTCAACGAAGCTGTTGCTGTTGTCCCAATTGGCCACAATGGAGACAGTACCCCCAGGCACCCCTTGTACATCACCAGGAGAATCTGAAGGTAGCAAGAAACAGTGTAGCTGGAAGTGCTCTGAGGAAGTGCTCAGTGACACATAATGTGGAAGAATGTTACAGCTGCCCCAGGAATGCTTGGGCAGGAGCACGGGGACACTTGGAGGAGCTGTTCTTCACGGCATCTCTGTGGAGGGAGTGTCCCAGGGCCACTTGGAACCAGATCACATCAGTCCTGCCAGAAGATCTCAGCAGGGCACGCTTACTGAGGCTCACTTAACCCTGTTCCAAGGTCAGGTGCCTCTGCTGCTCCCCTCTCACACCCCACTGCTACAGAGCTAAACTTGCCCACTTCCATTGTTCATTCCATTTTTTTCTTTCATATACCTATAAGAAGACCATTTGAGTGCTAAGTACTATATGCCTTCTCTTAAAAATAAAAATGAATCCAAATTACTTTAGACTGGTAATTGCATATCACACTGGGAGAAATTCATGTTCACCATCTACAGGTATTTATTTGGGAATCACTGAAGTAGTTACCAGATATTCACTGTCTTATAAGGATGCTGTTTAGTATTAAAATGTGCCAGGCATGGTGGCACACACCTGTCATCCCAGCACTTGGAAGGCTGAGGCAGGAGGACTGCCATAAGTTCCAGGCCAGCCTGGGCTACATAGTGACTTGAAGGCCGGCCTACACCGTATAGCAACCCCCGTCTCAAGAAAAAACAACAATAAAAAAATTACAATGTAAACTCTGAACAAATTAGCAACTCAATTAGAATAAATGGTTTGACTTTGGATTAGTTCAGAAAGATTTTCAGCATTCCGAGTAAAGCATTCTAGAAAATGCTGTAGAATTTCTATCTTTTCCCACCTCACTGAGTTCCCTTGGTCTTTGAGAAATCTGTGCACTTGGGTAGGAAATGGACTGCAGGGGGAAGGAAGCCTGCATTCTGGTCCCAGTGCTGCTGCTTCTCTGGCTATAACCTCCTGTAACCTCGCGGGGCCTTTGTCCCCCCCTGCACTTTCTTCTGGTTCACATTCTGCACTTGAACATCAGGTTCGTGGTGGGGAGGATTTCTAAATCCTTATTTGCATTTAGCTTTTAGGAGGTAATTGAGGTGTTGTTGGGACCAGTTTGGGACAGAGTGGATGCTGTCTGGTTCAGGTCCCATCCCAGGAATGAGGGGCTCTTGTCCTAGCCCTGAGTTTGGATGAGATTTATACCTGCTTTTGTTGGACCTCGCTGCCCTACTCAAGCTGACTGTCTTCTATTTACTTTACTTTTTCAGAACTTGTGATCCCAGACTCAGCAAATGTCTTTTATGCCATGAACAGCCAAGTGAACTTTGATTTCATTTTACGCAAAAAGAACTCAATGGAAGAACCAGTGAAACTGCGTAGCCGGACCAGCTTGACATTGCCCAGGACAGCTAAACGGGCCTGCTGGAGTAACAGGCACAGCAAGATCACCCTCTGAGCACGGACAACAGGGACCCAGGGCTTGCCCAGAGCAGAGTCTGCCAAGAACAGGCCTGGTGATTGCTACTACCATCCAGTGTTAGTAGGTTATTGGTGAAGTCAAGAGATATTTATTGAGTACCTGTGGTGCGCGTAGCACTACGTAGGGAAATTGGAAATGACTTCGACATGAAAAGGACAAATGATTTACTGATCCTCTTTGACTTTTTTGAGACTGAAATACAAAATTATCCACATTTTATATATATGCACACATATTTAGTATATATATGTATATATATACATATATATGATATATAAGAGAGACTTTATGGGATGTTCGGAACTATGGAAAAACAAATTTGCACAATGGCTTGGGAAGTTGAGGTCACTTTTTACAGGGAAACAAGGAACTGAGAACCTAGTCTTAGACTTCCCAAGAAGTAGAGTCAGTCAGTCCTAGGAGTACACAGTGTCCTTTGTGCCAGTATTACAAGAAGTCCAAGCTTTATTTTTGTAAAGGGAGAGGATTACTTTCTCAATCAAGTGCCACCACATGAAACAACTGCAGAGGCTGGAACTGCCACAGGCTGAATGAAAGGCCACTTTGGAAAGGGTTTGGATAAGTCAGTGGCCTCCAACCTCTGTCTGCATCTGCCGATTTCTGCTCCCAGGGAGGGCCAGGAAGAGCTCCGAGGCCCCTACACCCCACTGGCTGCCATCACACACCTCTAGAGTCACGGCCATACCATCCTGAGCATGCTGGATCTCGTCTGGAGTCAACACAAGCCTGTTTGATTTCTGGCAACCCTGTTGTTTCTGTTTTGTCTCCTAAAGAATATACCATAATCATTGCACAAAAGCCATGCTTTTTGATAACTTATCAGCCAGAAAAGAAAATACAAAAGAATGGTGACTCATTTGGACTCTTACCTGTCTTGAATGCCACTACTTCATTGCCTTTTCTGATTGCCTTTTGCATGTGAAACTGTATGTCTAGATTTTTTTGCCATCTGGATCCTAGTACCTCTATATTATGTGCAATTTGTTCCTCAGGTGTAGAAATTTCTACTGCAATTGACTACATTTGATCAGTTTGAGCCTGTGAATGATTTCTGAGTAGTGATTCCCCTGTCACTGGCCCCACAGATGTTCCCTGCTGATAACAATATCCATTTTACTTTTATAGTGTCCCTGTGCCTCGTCATGGGGAAAGAAACAGGAGTGCATATTTTATCTCAGTCCTTTCTCAAAGAGGTACATTCTTCCGGATGGACTCAATAGCCTTCTTCTTTAGGTCCCCATATTTGCTAACATGGTGTCACTGTTAAGTGACAGTTCTGTCTCTAGTAACACCATCGTACTCTGCCTTCCAAATCTGAGCTATGCTGGGGTTTGAACTAAAAAGCCATATGTGGAAAGTTGACACATGTAAGAAGCACTTTCAAATTGTTATTTTTTTTAAGCAAAAAAATCCCCGAATACCAGTTTTTATTCCAAAAATAGAGAGATCGAACCCAGAAAAAAGTGCAGATTATAACATGGAGCTTTTTTTCCTCTGATCTTGTAATACAGCCCTCACAGTTTGTGTGGGATTTGTGTTATATAAATAGCCATATGAATTCTGCAAGAAATAGCGGGAAACATTTAGAGATTTGTGGTGATGGACCAAAGAATGAGCCAAGAAGTCCTCAGAGTTCCTTGGTCTTTGTAGGAGATCGGACTTTGTAGGAGAGTGACTGGGTTTCAACTGGTCAAAAGCGTTCTTCTGTCGGTGAGCCTGGTTGGATTTGTGCTTCTGTGCATGGAGAAGAGATGGACAGGGTCTCAGCCATCATGAAGATTGAAGGAATGTAGCCTCAGGCTGATTTTCTTGGTGTGAAGGTCAAAAAGAAGATGTAAAACTATCAGTCTCACTTAGGGTGTGGCTACCAAGACATACCTGTTGTGCCCATGTGCTCACCCTGTGTATTTATACTGTACATGTACAGCCTAGATTTCTATACTGCAATGTAAAAAGTATACATTTACCTTTTTAAAAAGACAATGGAAATTCCAAGTAGATAAAATATGGCCTCATTTATTTAATGCCACTTTAATTGTCTTAGATTTGTTTCATGGTCAACAGCAGGGCAATGTTTCCAGCTGCTTGCATGCTTGTCTTTCTTCATCCCCATCACCTGTTTACCTTTTGGTTAAACTAATAAACTGGTTTGGGACTTGGTTGGCATGCGCTGCCAGACCCAAAGGGATTGTATCTGGAGTGTTCATCAGGTGGGCTGTGGGTTCCAGACAGGTCGGCAAGCCTTTCGGAATCCCATTTGAGATCAGGTGGAGCAAGCAGCAGGAAAGCCAGCGGCAGAGTCAGGATGCTCCCCACCAGCAAGTGTCAGGAGCAGTTAGGAGGAAGGACGATGACGTAGGAAATTCCAGCCAGAGATGATGCCTTGCTGGGGTGCTATTCTGAGGAGTCATGCAGTGGGGCCACCTCATAAAATCCAGCTTAGAATGAGGAGCTGAGGTAGTACTCTGCCTTTCTGAGCACTGTTCCCCTATTTGGCAATAGCGGCCCACTGGATAATCTTGAAACCTTCCATGGTTCTCCTGAAGCTGGAGAGGTGGGAAAGGTCTTCCCAAAAGGCATTCAGTCTGAATCTGACTTTACTCAACATATAGTATTTTCATTTCTCATATTGTTTCCAAAAGTTACCCAAAATTATTTTCTGATGGACTACTAAATGAACCCAAATTATTATAGTTTGTATTATATTTTGGGGATACTTACGGAAATTTAGAGAGAAAGGTGTTTTAATAGGAAATTGACACTGTGGGCTGGGGCAGGCAAGGGATTTGTGTCTCTTCCAATAAGTCATTGCTTTTTAAGACCATTCTAGAAAACCACTTCCCTTGTTTTGTCTCTATCCAGAAAATTGGGCTTAGTGACTTGCCTGAAGTAATAATAGATTCAGATTTCCTTCTTTGGACCATTTTCACATTCTTCACACAGCACAAGACCATTAGGAAGTCAATAGTGTTGTTGCTGTGTTCTGGCTTCAGTGGGATTGAGGACTTCCTGATAACCTCTTCTACAGATGCCTACGGTTCTTTCTTTTGTTTTCTTTTCTTTCCTTTTCTTTTCTCCCCCCCCCATTAAGTTTATTGGTACATTTTAGGTATAAAATATAGTTATATTCATCATTG